AAGTGTTGATGACAAATTTTAGGTTTAATAGAAGTAAAGTATTGCGATACGAATTCCATCTACTTAGATATTAAAAAATTCTTTATGCAACGAACTATTCCTCTTAAAAATGTTATYGGACTAGCAACCGATGGGGCAAATGTAATGGCCGGAGAATTGAATAGCCTAAAAAAAAAGTTGAAGTCGGACGTAGATCTTTTTTTTTATCAAGTGTACTTGTCACTCCCTACATTTATGTTCAGCTTACGCGTGTAAACAGTTGCCGCATCAAATCGAACAATTTTGTCGCTCTATATACAGTTTTTTTTTCTCATATCCCGAAAAGAATCGAAGAATTGAAGGAATTTCAAGAACGTTGTCAGGTGGAGCCCCACAAAATATTAGGCGTTTCTTTAACAACATTTCTTGCCTTGGGGCAGGTTATTAATAGAATTTTTGAACAATAGCTTCCACTATATTTATATTTTCTTGATCGTGTGTTAGAAGTGAACGGTACTAAAGCTTCAGACCTGGCATTGCAAATGAATGAGCCCGATGTAAAGGTATACTTTCTTTTTTTTATCCTACATTCTGAAAATTATCAATGATATGAATAAAGAATGAATGATAAAGAATCAGAAAAGGTTAGATTGCCATACTTACATTTGCATTTGGAACCCAATTTTATATTAATATTGGTCAATTTTATGTCAAACACATATGTTGAAATTTGAAATCTTTGAATAAKATTGATTTATTATGTTGTAATTAATGTTTTTATTGGTTCCAAAGCAGAATACTATTTAAAAAAAAGTAAATTGACTGATTTTCAGAAAGTAAGAATAAAAATAAATGTTCTCAAATTTTACTTAGAGCTCTTAAAACAAATTAAGCAACGATTCGACTTTTCAAGAGAAGATGTTAAAAATTTAGTAATAATAACACCCGGTAAAGTTTTATCCAACTCTGAACTATCGATTGAACCATTATTAAAAAACTTCGAAGGTTTGGCAACCAGCAATCCTTTAATTATAGTTAGCCAGTGGAAATTATTAAGGCTTACCAACTTGGAATTGAACACGGAAATGAATATTCTAAATTTTTGGGAAAAAAATTCAGTTTTTAAAAATGGAATGGAAGAAGCATGCTTCCAAGATCTCACAAATTTTGTATATAATTTGATGACTTCCTCCACAGCTCAGCAGCTGTCGAACGGAAGTTTTCTGATTTGTCTTTAATTAAATCGAAAACAAGAAATAAATTGTCATATAGAACCATAAATAACATAATGCTAGCAAAAGAACTTGCTAATTCTCAAAATGAAGCAAATTATGTGTGGGCAGCTAAACATTACTTTAAATGAAATTTGATATTTGATTGATTAATTTTGTCAAATGTAAAAATACATATGAATATGTATTTATTTTGATCAACCAACTTTGATCATAAAACTAAGTTTATTTCAATGTTTTTGGTTTTTTCTGGCTTGTCAAATAACTTGTTATTGTTAACAAACGTTAAATGAGCGTGAATGCCATTAGAATTTTTGGAAAAATCGAAAAATCATCAACAATCAAAGAGGTCGAAGTTATAGCTATTGAGGAGATGTGGTGATCTCTTTGATTGTTGATGAATTTTTGAACTTTCCTAAAATTCGTATGGCCTTCAAGCTCATTTAACGTTTTTAACAATAACTAAATTTATTTCATTCAAAGAAACAAGAAGTTATTTTATAACCAATTTTTTGCCATTAATGTTAAGAGAAACACGAAGTGATATTTGTTATATCTTTTTTTTATATTAATTTTAAGACAAACATGAACTGAAGTTTATTTGAAATACTTTTAATTTTTTTAATTAATCCTTTTGTAAATAAAAAACGCTTAAAAAAAGTAGTAAATGTGTTTTTTTATTTTTTATAAATAAAATTTGTAAAAAAAATTTTGTTTTTTTTTAATTTGGTAAATTTTTTCCAGGGATTTGGTAAAATGAAAATATGATTCGCGGAAACCCTGGTCGCAATATTCACGTATGTAATTATGTGTGCATGTAAACAAAAAGAACCATACGCATAATGATGGTAAATTTGTCTACCCACAACTTTGTATGTAAATGTGTACACTTATTGCGTTTTTTCAAAGAGTCAATGTGTCGAAGGGCTGACGTGACAACAAAGCATCACGACATTGTGTTGTTGGTAGAAAATCCGAGCTGTGCCGAAAACACAACCGAACGATCGCCAATTGCTACTGCTTCCCTTGCCGCTGTAGCAGCTTCAAGAACAAACCAGCGTAAATATTTATGTTTCTGTATGAGCTTACATATATATCGACGCAGAATTTTGCAAGCCGCGTACAAATATTTTTTACATTCCCTGACAAATACAGTCAATCCCGGTTATGTGCCACAATCAAAGATACAGATTTGTGTGATTCGTTAAAAGTAAAAATATCATATGGCACATAAGCGTGTGCGGATACTTAAGCGATTGGTACTTAAAACAATAATTTGTATGTATTTCAAAAAACAACCCGTGTGATGCAGCAAGATGATTTTCATTTAAGCGGAGTACTACTTAACCGGGATTCACTGTACACATAAATCAGAGGAATATTGAATATTTTCTTTGGCACATTTCTTGACTTAAAAATCGACAAATAAACTAGAATTTTGTTCTATGCTTATATTTGCGGGTTGTCGCTTTATCCTTCTCATACAAATATCAGAAAGATGCTTATAGGCAAAGACATGCGCGGGGAGACGTAATGGTATTTGCAAGTTTGCCTGTTGAAAATCATGAATGAAAATATTGTTGTTGTGTGTTTTTCTACAAATTTGGGCAGCGACTTGTCTGCCATATTGACATGTGACGCTGCTGATGCTATGTGAAACCATTGTGGTTTTTGTAGAACAATAATCGTAGTTTTTGCTGGTGACATATCTACATGTGAACGCATATAAGTATGTGTGTTGTGTATGCATTATTTGTGTGGGAATGTCATGCGCACATATTTACATGTGTACTCATATTTGTATGTTGGTTTGTGTATACATTATTTGTTCGGCAATGTCGTACATATTTGCATGTAGATATAGAGCAGTGCGCGCACACTTCTTACTGATAAATTATAATATTACCATTTGAATTTGAGTATTTTTAAAAAATTAATACATTATGTTAATCGAATACTCCAATTTAACGAAAAAGTGCATTGAAATTGTACTTACCCCTATATTTAATACATACTTATTTTACAACTATTTTTAATTACTATTATTTTTAAGCTGTTAGCTTAAGTTAAGGCTAACTGATTGAACCGAACGTAAGTGTTTTAACGGATTTTTACATTTCTCGTAACAGTCAGTTAGTCGTTTAAATCTTGTTCGCGCATTCCCCAGTATAGTATTTAAGCATTTCAAAAACGCTTGAGATCTTTCAAAAAGTAATTTTATTTAGAATACCGTTGAGGTTCTTGCAAAACTTACTAATGACGTATTTTATGAAAGATGAATTAATAGAAGAATTCATTGAATTCAGTCATAATAGATTCATCAAACAAAAAGTGGAAGGATCCTGAACAGAAGTAAGTAAATTATATAACTGTTCTCGATATTGATTTTATTTGTTACTATATACTGATAGTATCATAATAATAATTTATAACTGGACAATATTGTAAATTTGTATGTTGAATATGTAGATATATATATTAATTATCAGAATTGTTATTAAAACTTATTTCTTCTGATTCATTTTAGCACAAAATTAAAAGTGGAAGATTTCTTCATATTACTATGAAATATATTGTTCGGTTAGGAAATTTTAACAACTGAAATTTTAACATTATGTTTGGTTACCAACCAAAATATTACGGGAAGTAAACAACCTATTTTAGGAACAATTCTGCCGTTTCTGCAAATAACATAATCGCACCACCTACGTTAACACATCATTTTAAATATTGTAGCTCCCAACTTTTTATAACACCAGTTTTCTGTAACAAATGAATAACAAAATAAATAACCTATGGACCGGGTTTCTTTAAAGTATAGATAACAATAACTAAACAAACTATTTTCATGATTTTAATGAACTCCAGGCGCCCGCRCTAATTAAACTAAAGGGCATCACTGATCAGCGAATACAACACTCTCCACATCAACATGTCAATTAGAAAAACAGGGCATCACTGATCATCTCCACACCAAGCTGTTTTTGTTCCATTTTTCATTTTATACCAACGAGAAGGTGACGCTGTGCCGTTTTTTGTCCTACACAGTTCTAGAA